GGGCTGACAGTGGCAGTTATACCTGCCCTGTCAGAAGTCAGAGGGCCTGAAGCAACGGAATTCGGTTATAAGGAGCTTATTCTCAAGGAACAAGGTATCTTGAATCACTAGCGCAACATGCACTCTTAGTTTTCGTTCTCCTTCAGCTTCTTGCACACAATACTAACTTAACCATCGGAGCGTTCCTGCCGGGAATCCCCCGGGAGTTCTTCCTCTTTCCTCGCATTTCAGGTACCTCTCAAGAGCCACGCGAGCGCCAGTTAGGAGTGACCGGATTGTGCTACATCATCTATTAAAATAGATTAGTAGAGGATAAAGTTGAAACTTTAAATTATGTATGGTAATGCATTAACAATGATAAGGATATTTTAGTAACTTTAATATCTTTGTTTCCGAAGAGAGGAAAATGAGGCATTTGAACTTTTTTGGTCGTAGAATTGTTTTAAAAGGTTTATCTATAATTTTACCTAAAAATAACATAAAACTAATAATAGATCAATAAAAAAATCTTTTTTCCAAAAAAATTAATAAAAGTTAGCTTTAAGATACAAAAAAAAATACAAAATTATCTATAGGATAAGAAGTTAGCCACTCTGACTAAAGCTTTAACTTAGATTGTAACCGGATAAACTAGACACAACCCCAAAAAATAATACTCGGATTGAACTTAGATGAACACCATTTAATTGAAAATGTAGTAGAACTCCATCTTCAATTTTGCATGCTATTCATTGCAAAGGTCCTGATTAGTTTAAAATTAATTCCAATCAACTTCTCTAAAAAGACAAATTCACATCTGTGCACCAAAAATACCCTACATGCGCATCTCAGCATGCATGACAAAACATCTTTGTACTTGTCATTGGGAGATATTCTCAAAACACGGTTGGGATGTCTTGTGGGGTGCAACTGTGAATTCTACAAAAACCAGTTTTTTTTTTTGTTTTTATATTTATAGTATAAAAAGTCTATATTGGTATTTAATATAGGGCCCGTCTGGCGCCTTTCAACGTGGTCTTTTGGCTATTTACAAGTCGGGCAGATTGATTTTTGGTTTATTCCCATTTGGTTCATGAAAGATCTAGTCGCCAAAATCCGGAGATCCAAAAAGATGCAAGAAGCCTATTTTGGGCTGATTTTTGGAAGCTCCAAATAAAGTTTTTCACGTTTTTCATGTTTTATTCTCACACTAAAAAACATGTATCTGCCAAACTAGCTTCGAGCTACTCAGATCTTCGTGCAAAAGTTCAATGCATCTTTTGATTTTTTTTTTGTTTCATGAACTAAACAAGAGGGGGTAGCCCATCCCCTTTCGCTTAACCCCCACGCCCCGGTGGCAGCGGGATTTGATCCCAGGTCTCTACTCCGACGAGTCAGAGAACCTACCAACGTCTTTTGACTTTTAGAACTATCAAAAATCATTCCAAAAAGACTTAGCAAACGGGTCCATAGAAAATCATAAATTTAGGAAAACATTTTTTAACTTGTATCTTTACCTTTATATATATATATAAATATATAATCAGAGCTAACCGCCGGGAGTGTAGAAAGGGGAGGGTAGACCATCTCTTCTCTGATCCACCTCTTCAGTTTCACCGTCGTCTAAACCCACTGCAACCATTACTGCTGCTGCACATCGTCTCCCATCCGCTGTACAATCTAGAATTGAGCGTTTTGGCCATCAACCGAACCATGCAATGTCTTGAACTACAAAGATTTCAGACCCCACCCATTCTCCGGTGTTTAGCCTGAGATGATCGAGGCATTCCTCATCTCAGATTGCGGCTGCCACTTCTCTGTCCAAGCGTCATCTATTATTTTTACGAACTCAGCCTTTAGGAGCACAATGAACTAAGATTTACGCGAGGAATCTCATACTACCTAGCCTTGCTTCAATTTTTCAGTAACTGATTCACATCAGCAGCATCATTTCTTCTTTCCTACAGAGGCTGCAATAGAGGTAAGCCATCTACCTCACTTGATGGATAGATTGATTTCTAATCTTTTTTTTTTGCTTGATGGATAGATTGATTTCTAAGCGTTATTTGCTTGTTTTATATTGCAATTTGTGTTCAAGAGATTGGGGTTTGGAACTTCAACTTCTATCAGTATGGGTGTTTATCGTTGTGTTATGTTTGGGATTGTCGCCAGTATTTAATGGTTTATTTTTCCCATTTTCATTTTATCTCGATAAGATAAAATCCTTGAGTTGCTATTATCTTGATAAAAAAACTTTCTTGGTTGCTGGTTCAAGGTTTTTCTTAATCTGTTTCCCTTTAAAAGGGTTTTGGTTTAATTATTTATCTGCCTTCTCATCTAAATCGTTCTTTCTCTATTTTCTGATTTCTTCTTATCATCTCTCGATGTTTGGAAGCACTTACTTGCGTATGAAGAGTTGATTGAGGAATGCCCATGGAAGTTTGATCTCCTTGTGGTCAGGCTCTTTGAATTCGGTGGGTAAAGGTGCTGGGAACCTTAGATAAAAAAGGGGATGGTGTGTACTTGCCTACCTCTATGCTCCTCTAAGGGTTCCCACACCCGAATACGAGGTTGAGGGCTGGGACACGTTAGAGAAGCTTCTTGCCATACTTGACACCTTTTAGTCCACAGATATCATCACTCGTCCCTGAATTGTTTTAAGGTTCTATATTTCGTCCTTGTTTAAAATCTGGATAGGGAATTGCACTCACACCGACAGGAGAGAGGGGTGCCTAACCCCTTCCCTCCCTCTTCTCTAACTTACCTAGAGAGACTTATTTCAGTAGAGGCAGCTGAAAAATTTGAGAGATCTATGAGGGATTTTTTGTGGGTAGGGTGGAAGGACTTAATTACCATATTGTAAACTGGGAGCTAGATCTGTCAGCCTTTAAATAGTAGTGATTTGGGTATCAGCAAGGTCAGGAGGTTTAATTTAGCTTTGCTTGGAAGATGGTTCTGGCGTTTTATCTCAGAACCAAGTGGACTCTGGAGAAGACTAATTGCAGCAAAATATGGCTTGCAGAAAAATGGATGGGACATAGCTACCCCCACTCAACTTCATGGATGCAGCATGTGCAGAGGAATTTATAAAGCTCTGCCAGGCTTTTTAAAAGGAATTCAATATAAACTTGAAATAGAAGCCGGCTGAAATTCTGGATGGAAGCCTTGGTGTGGTGAAAGACCTATATGTGTGCTGTTTCTGGAGTTGTTCATGCTGGCTAGCAATAGGAATGCTTTGGTGGCAGACTCTTATGCCATGGGAAATCTATTGTCTGGACTCCACAATTCAGGAGAAATTTCAATGACTGGGTACCACTCCAGATATCTGGGTTGTTAGGTTTGCTTCAGTCTCAGACAGTTAATCTTCTTACTCAAGATTGCAGATGCTGGAAATGGTCTAAATCTGATATTTTTACAGTAAAGTCATGCTACCTAGGGTTGGATTCTGATATAACCTATTCCTTTGCTAGTAAAGCCATTTGGTTGTCTGATGCCCCCTCAAAAGTGTAGCTTTTCACCTGGGTAGTGGCTTGGGAAAAATGTCTAACCAAGCAAATGCTTATAAGGAAGGGTGTAAATCTGGTGGGCACCCTCTCTCCCCTGTGCATGGAGGAAGAAGAGTCTTCTAATCATATATTTCTTCATTGAAGGCCACTGTTCAGGATCTGCCACATGGTTGGAAGGTTGCTGGAATGAGCAAAAAGGAAGATGTTTATGGTCTGCCATCCCTCTGGCAGTAATGTGGATGGTGTGGTTGGAGAGGAATTCAAGGGTATTTGAAAAGGAAAGTAATCCTGTGGAGAGAGTGATCAATGGCATTGTGGAGGCTCTGAGGCAATGGCTATCAGCTACAGTTTATTTCAAGGATATCAAATTCTCTTCCTCTTTTTTGCCTGTAAACTTCTTTTTGGGGATACTTGAATACTTCTGTAGTTATACAGAACCTCATTGTACAGACACATGTTTTTTATACTTAATACAATATACTTGCCCACTTTTTTTTTTCCTAAAAAAATGGTCTGTTTGTAGTGTTGTATCATGTATGTTGTGGGTGAAAACTCACTAATGAAGTTATAATTCTTTTTTGTCCATTTTAATGGATTTTTTATTTCTTACTATAAAAAAGTAGTGATTTAGCAGTACAAGTTCTGTTTATGTTGTAAAAGATATTTTATTTATATTGGCCTGTTTTTGAGTACTGTAAGGTTGAGTCAGGTCTCAGCATAGATTGTAGGTTGTAACTGCATATTTTTTGCTTCTATTAAAGAGGTTTTCTTTCTTTTTCCTTCTCAAAGAAGAAAAGTACTGAATTTACAGGAGCTGAAATATCCAAATATGTATTTTTTTTGTATTTTCCACTGTAAAAAGTATAAAAAAGCTTCAATCCGTTCAAACATCATGAAATCTATAATGGAAATCACCCTTTTTTTCTGAAGAATCAAGAAGAAAGAAAATTTATTAAAAGAAAAGGTTACATCCTATCACATTGGTTATCTAGATGACACACCAACAACATCAAGTACATACTTCAATTACATGTCCAGAACATTCAAGTACATACTTCAATGTTAGTGGGTACCATTCACCTCCTCAAGATCTATCAGATTCTAGGGTTCTTTTTATAATTGATCATAGGCCTTCTACAATCCTACTGATGTTAGTGGGTACCATTCACCTCCTCTGAAAAGCACTGGCAGATGAAGACAATTGGATTTTCTAATATCAACTTGAAAGATTAACAATACATGAACTAACTGGAATATGATGTTAGATGGAAGAGAAAAGAAAGGAAGGGAAGATTAAAAGAGATCAAGTGAGGGAGAAATAACAAGTCATGGGTAGGCAACTCCGAATGTCCTCCAGGCCCATATCTTGTTGGGCTTCCTGTTTGAATGCGTTTAGCAAGGGATATGTAGGCTGGGAAGATGTAAGGCTAGGCAACTCCAGTTTGTAGGATAAGGTATTAGCAACCATATTAGTTAAACCGGGCTTGTATTCAATGATATAGTCATAGCCCAATAATTTTGTTTGTTGCTCTTCTGTGAGAATCTTCTATTCAAGTAAATACTTTAAGCTGCATTGGTTGGTGTGGATGGTAAACTGGCCCAATAAATAGGGCCTTCATTTGTCACAACAAATACTACTACTATGAACTCCTTGATGTAAGTGGACTTTGTCTAGGCTGTAGGAGTGAGAACTTTGCTGGAACAAGCTATAGGCTTCCTTTCTTGCATGAGGACAGCCCTGAGGTCCAATCCAGATGTGTCACACTCCACCACAAAGGATTTAGGAGTTTTGGCAATGAGAATTGGTTAGTATGAGCATACCTTAAATGTATGTCCTTGCATTTTTTTAGGTCAAGGTGGTGTATACCCGCTCACAACAAAGCTGATTACCATTTGCCACTTGGACTGAGAATCGGTCAGTAGGCATATCGTACAGCTTGAGTTGTTGGGCTAAAGCTTTTGTTATGAAGTTAAGTGTGCTGCCACTATCCACTAGAATGGATCAATGGACACAGCCTGTCCCAATAGGCTCCCCTCAATTTTCATAGTCTGTGCTAATGTCAGCCCAGTCAGGGGCTCAGGGCTTGAAGGGAAATTTCAGGGGGCTCATGCCCATAAATGTCTTGGTGTATCACTGGTTCTTGTTCAACTTCAGGTTGGGTGGTTGGGCCTCCAAGTCCTCAGGCCCATCAGTTTGTAAGAACTAAATTTGTTGGGCCTTGCATTTGTGGCTGGAGGCAAACTTATCATCACAAATATAACATAGCCCTTTCTCTCTATCGGCTTGTATTTTGGTCTATGAAAGCCTCTTGAATGGTAAGTTGGGCTTGGGTGTCTGCTCTATATGGATCCCTACTCCTAGGTCCTAAGTGGTTTTTAAGAATTGGGCTGCCCTTAGTTCTGTTTAGGATCTTTGTTAAATTGGTCCATTTTTCTTCCTATAAATGGGCTAGGCCCACTGTGGCCATAACTGAGGTTGGTTGCATTGCCTTAACCTCTCAATTTGATTTTCGTCTCTTAGGCCTCCGATGAAGCACCTGACCAGTGCTTTCTTATGCAGGCCTTTCAAACTTTACTCAGTACTCTCTCACAGTACCACCCTGCTTCAATTCGGATAGCTGTTTTTTTATCAATATCAGAATTTGGATAGCTGTTCATTGTAGTCCTCAAATCCAGAGGGACCAAACCAAACACAGAGGGCCTTTGTGAAATCCGGACAGGTAACTTGCGGAAGAGACAGCCTAAACCATTGAAACCATAATATGGCTTCTCTAGTTCTCCTTCAAGGTAGATTGAGGAAATCTGTATTCTCTGATGTCTAGGTATTTTGTGGTATTTCAAATACCTCTTAGCCTTGTAGATCCAAAGTATAGGATACTTACCTAGTAAATTGGGAAGCCCAATTTGGCTTGTCTCTAGAGTGTGGATCCACTTTTCCAGTTGCTGCCATGGCCGGAGCCTTCTCCATTACTCTCCGTGGATTTAATTCGAGGACTCTTTTTGAATCGGGTAAGCATCACTGAAAGCACCTCTTTAAGCATCCCCAGTTGGGCCTGTCTGTGCTCCAGTAGCTGGATTGGGCTGGTTCCTAACTCCTTCAGATCAGATCTAGAAGGATTTCTTCAGTCTTCAATTAAAAAAGTTAAGTTTCTGATGTAGAACATGAACAGATCTTCTTCTAGCACCTAAAAAAGTGCTCTAATACCATATTATTCAAGTAAAAGTAAGAAGAAAATAGAGATAAGAAGAGAGGAGGAGAAGAGAAGAGAATATTTTGAGGCTCAAAAACTAGGTTGGTGGCACCTATATTATCATTTATATCAGTGTGGCAGTACATAAAGCCAATCTTTTTAAGACTGTAATGATTCAAGTTGGTGAGATGGATAGGCAGTTATTGGGGGAGTGTGCTGCGGTACTTGTGGGCATTTGGGGTAACTGTATTCCTCTGAGGGTGGAAGATTTTACTTGGCTTGTA